AGAAAGGTATTTTGAAGGCCTACAATCTGGTCCTCAACTGAAGACATGTTTGATACAAAATGAATGACTTTTATTACAAAATACTGTGGCAGTAAGTCTTACACTGTGATAATTTTGGATGCCTTATATATGGTTAGAAAGGTCTTCAGTAGGACTACAACTTTGTCTTCAACTCATTGTAACTTTCCTACAAATCTAAGAACTTTTGTTAGTACTTACTGCAGCAGTTATTGACTGTATTGACTGAAATTGACTTGGGCAGATTTTGGTCTGGGTTCATAGCGGCACTTTTAAAACCTAACTGCCCAGTTAACACTTTGGCTTAAAGTCAATACTTGCTTCAAAAAATGCAAATTACTGACCCAACCCTGAGTTTTCAAAACAGTATTAGGGCCATATCTCAGTGAGTTCTGAAGCTTTCATAATGGTTCCTATATGGCTAGAAAGGGATTTTGAAGGCCTATAACATGGTATTTAACTGGAAACCTGTTGACTACAAAATGACTGACTTTTATTAGGATACACTGTGGCAGTTAAGGCCACACTATGAAATTTCTTAATGGTGCATATATGGTTAGAAAGGTTTTTAGAAGGACTATAACTTTCAATTCAACTTTTGTTTGATTGACCACAAATCTATTAACTTTTGTCAGTACTTATTGCAGCAGTTATTGACTGTCTTGACTGAAACTGACTTGTGCAGCGGCACCTGCCTTTTTCAAAACAGTAATAGGGCTCTATCTCAGTAAGCTTTGGTTGGATCACAATGAGTCCTATATGGTTAGAAAGGTATTTGAAGGGCCTACAAATATGGCTTTAACTGCAGATATGTTGACCACAAAATGACTGACTTTTATTAGGATACACTCTGGCAGTTAAGGTTACACTGTTGAATTTCTTGATGGTTCATATATGGTCAGAAAGCTCTTGAGAAGGACTACAACTTTGTATTCACCTAATTGGAACTTTCCTACAAATCCATCAACTTTATTGACTTGGCACTTTCAAAACAGTATTAGCACTATATCTCAGTCATTTCTGAAGCTTTCAAGATGGTTCTCATATGGTCAGAAAGGGCTTTACAGAGGCTATAAACTGGTATTCAACTGGAAATATGTTTGATATAAATCCAATGACTTTTATCAGTACTTACTGTGGCAGTTATATTGACTCAAATTGACTTGTGCACATTTTGGTGCCAGTCTATGGGGACACTTCTGGGACCTAACTGCCCAGTCTACACTGTGGCTTAAAGTCAATACTTGACTCACAAAATGTCATATACTTTCAGTCTTTTGAAACAGTAATAGGCTCATATCTCGATGAGTTCTGGTCGGTTTAAGATGGTTCCTATATGGTCAGAAGGATATTTCAAAGACCTACAAACTGGTCTTCAACTGCAAATATGTTGACTACAAAACGACTGACTTTTATTAGGATACACTGTGGCAGTTCATGTTACACTGTTGAATTTCTTGATGGTTTATATATGATTAGAAAGGTTTTTAGCAGGAATACAACTTTGTATTCAACTTATATTTAGTTTATCACAATTAGTGTATACTGCAGCAGTACTTATTGTGCTGATTTTGGTGCCAGTTTATAGGCTTTATCTCAATGAGTTCTTGTTGGATTGAGATGGTTTTCATTTAAAGGGCCTATAACATGGTATTCAACTCAAAATCTGACTGCAAAATGACTGATTTTGACTTGTCTTTTGAAACAGTATTAGGCTCATATCTCTGTCAGTTCTGGTCGGTTTGGGATGGTTTTTATATGGTTGGAAAGGGAATTCCAGGCACTCAACACAGGTTTGATACAAATTGACTAAGTTTCATTAGCACTTACTGTGGCAGTTATATTGACTCAAATTGACTTGTGCACATTTTGGTGTGAGTCCATGGGGACACTTCCAGGACCTGCCAGTTTATACTGACCGTCCAAAGTCAATGATTGACTTACAAAATCACCAACATTTCAAAACAGTATTAGGGTTATATCTCAATGAGTTCTGCTTGTATGGAGATGGTTCTTATATGGTCAGAGAGGTATTTGAAAGGGCTACAAATTGATGCTGCATATTCTAGTGCTAGTTGATAGTGACACTTATTTACTCCCCTGGTAACACTTTCCACTTTCAAAACAGCATTTGGGCTGTATCTCAGTCATTTCTGCAGCTTTGAAAATGGGTCTTGAACGGTCAGAAAGGTATTTCAAAGGCTTATAATCTGATGTTCAAATGACTTGGCGGTAAGGACTACAACAGATTGATGCAACTAAAAGGCAATGCTTGAGTCACAAAATGCAAGTCTTTCAGTACAGTATTCCGGAGCTTTCAGAATGGATTGAAAGCCCAACCAACTTAAAACGTGCTAGATACATGGTTTGGGATTTCAGTTCGAACTGAACTGGACTGACATTCGGTGAAGGCCATCCTGGCCCTCAGTTTGGCCCGGTCTGGCTTTTCGCCAAGAACCAAACTGAACCAGACTGTTGACTCCAATTGACTGATTTTAGGGCACTTTGAAACAGATAAAGTGGATTTCTATATGGTTGGAAATGTATTCAACTGGAAATATAGTGGATACAATTTGACATACTGTGGCTTTTGGGCAGATTTTGGAACCAGTTAATAGAGGCACTGATTTGACATAACTGCCTGGTTGAGTCTTTTTGGCATACTTGTAGAAACATCTGACTGAAAATTCACTTTCATGCAGTGGCAGTTAATATTGAGCTGTTAAGTTTTGAGTTCAAACTCAAGTTTCACCCACAAGCAGCTTTGGCTGAACAGACTTGTCTTGTCAGACATTCCAAGTTATATGAAAAATTAGACAAAATTGTTGATTGCACGCCAACCGCTCCAGCTAAGTACAGGGAATTCAGGAATTACATAGACCTATGATATTCGCGCCGTCGGGCAGCGCTTCGGCCCGATCGGACCAGATACGGCGAGGTTCGCCAGTGTGCCGGCTCAAACAGAGCCTTGGGCGATACGGGAGAACGGTGCGGCCGTTCGGCGCGAGATCTTCAAGGAGGGTAGTGCCATGCTACCCGCGGCTGCTGGCCGCGTTTGGGCCGACGCGACGCAGCCGGAGCCCGGCAGTGCGGAGGGCGGGTGGAAGTCCGCCCTTGCGCGTGCGGCACAGCCGCTGCATCGCCCGGGCTGGAAACTTCACACAGGGAGGGGACACGTCGTCCGCAACCGCTTGTGCAATTCCAGCCCTATCGGAGCAGCGGCTCGGCAGCGGGCCTCGAGACGGCGGTGCAGACACGCGGCGCCGCACCGCGTCGTGGAGGGCGACGGGACCCGCGACGAGGTGGCGCAGTGACGTAGGCGAGTACGTCAGACTTGAAAACACATGCGCTGAGCATTTGAATTGAGAAAACAGCTGAAACCACTCACCGGGGGAAGAATTGGCGATGCGCGACAACGACGGCGTTGTGTCCCACGAGACTTTCTGGAGTCGAAGGTGCATATCAGGGCTACTCACGCGCGCGCTTTCGAGGAGAACGCGCGGCAGACGGGCCGGAACGCCGCGGGCTTGCCGAAAACAGCGGTCGGGCCGCGCAGGGCCAGCCACCGCCCCGTTCTGCCTGGAAATCTCAGGAAATGGAGAGGCACAGTGTCTCCCGTATCGCTGAGAATTTCGGGCGGAACGCGTCAGAATTGCGCCCAGCGCCCTCCATTCTCGGCCAAGACGCGTCGAGCACCTTGGGACACGTCCCTTACGTTGTCATCGACGTTGCCGGACGTCGCCGAGGGCCTCCGGAGCCCGTTCGGCGCGAAACGGGCGATTGCCGGGGAAACCCGGCGCGTTGCTGGCCAGCATCCAGCCGGCGGATCGCCACAGAAGTCCAGCTTCTTGACGGGAACGTCCTCCGCTCTTCGCGAGTCCATTTTCGCGTCGATCCGCGGTCGCGATCGCGCGCAGTGACCGGTTCTTGCGAGATTTGAGCCCAGAGTGGGCCAACGACGATGGTAGCGGCGGGAATGCGGATGGCGGGTTGCATCGAAGTGCTGGGGACACTGAGAGAGCAATAAATTAGTAGAAAAGAAGCCACAGATGGAAGAAACACGCACCTCGCGGAGACCTGCAGCCGCAGACCCACCCGCTCGGCCGTTGGCCCTGAAATCTTCAGGAGAGGGAGCGTCGCAATGTCGCTACCTGTGGTTAAATTTCCAGCCAGAACGGGCACGAACTGAGCCCAGCGCTCACCGGTCCTGCCCACAACGCCGTCAACAGCGACCACGGTCGATGCGGCCCGCCGACAAGCGCCGAGACGCGCTGAACCGGTTGGGATATGGTCTTTGAGCCTCCCCGGACATGCCCGAGGGACACCGGGGGCCATTCCCGGCCCCAAACGGCTAGGTTTTTGGCCAAACGGGAGCCCAGCGGTGGCCCGAATCCAGCGGGCAGATGGGCCGACAAACACCATTCGAATGACGAGGGAGTGTCGCGCCTTGCGCGTGACGATTTTCGCGACGATCCGACGGCGAGATCGCGCGGGTGACGAATTCAAGCCCAGAATGGGCAGAAACGGCAGGGCAGAGCGGAGAAGGGAAGAGGCTTCGGGTGGGGTGCTAAAGCCAGTCGTATGTGGGAGGGAGAGTGTCGGCGTGGCACCAGCAGCCGCGAGAGATGTGTTTGCCGAGCGCCGACGCCGAGTACCGCGCCGGTGTTGCCAGCAAGATAAAGACCAGATTTGCGCCTGGCTGGATTCGCTGCGCGTCGTTGAGCGATTTGCGGTTTGAGGGTGGTGGTTGATAAAAAAGAAGCGCGGGTGACGGCATGCGGCACGTGCACGCCACGTCTTCGTCCCCACGCAGCCTCTTCCTCTGCTCTTCCGCGCACAACGGCGGCCCCGCGGGGTGGTTTGCCGCAGACACGCGTCGTAAACGCCAGCGCGGGGCGTACTTATACCCCGCGCGACCTGCCGTCCCTCGCCTTCTTTCTTTCCCCCAGTTGTCGCTCGTTACCCACCCACCCTCGTTAACCATGGCCGGCCCACGCCCCCGCAGCCTCCCGCTCCTCGCCGTGCTCCTCGCGGCCGCGCTGCTCCTGCTCCCCCCGTGCTCGCCCACGGCGACCACAAGGGCGCCCACTACGGCCGCAAGCGCACCCGCAACGGCCGCCCCGCCCCCCCCCGCCAAGGGCCGCCCCACCCCCAACGTCGGGCGGCGCCGTCAACGCCACGCCCAAGCCCAGCACCACCGCCGCCCCGCCCCCGAACACCCCGGCCCCGCCACCGCCACCGCCGGCCCCGTCTAGCACCCCGCCGCAGCCCCGCCCCCGCCTCCGCCTCCGCCACCCCCAGCGCCCACCTCTACGAGCTCCACCGCCCCCGTCCGCGCCGCGCGGCCCCGCTCCCCCTGGGCGATCAACGCCCGCGGCGGCCGTCGCGCCGCTCGTCTCCGCAGCGGACCAGGCGCTGTACCTCAAGTTCCACAACGACATCCGCGCCAACCACAAGGGCGACCCCCCTCTCGTGGAACGACACGCTCTCCGCCGCGGCCCAGAAGGTCGCGGACACGTGGCGTGTTCGAGCACTCGGGCGGGAAGGTCGGCCCGTTCGGGCGAGAACCTCGCGGCGGGCACGGGCGCAAGTACGGGATTGAGAAGGCGATCGTGTCGTGGACGAACGAAGTCGGTGCGTGCCGTGCCGTGTTTTTGATGCTGATGCGGAGGCTGATGGCGATGGCGCAGGGGACTACGACCCGAAGAACCCCGTGCCGTCGCACTTCACCCAGGTCGTGTGGCGCGGGACGACGCAGGTCGGCTGTGCGCTCACCGTGTGCGCGCCCGGCACGATCTTCGACCCCAAGTTCACGGTGCGTGTCCGGGCCGCGTGTGCCCCCCTGTGCTGACCTCGGCGCCGCGCAGAACACCGCCGAGTACTACGTCTGCGAGTACGCCCCGCCCGGGCAACATCATCGGCCAGTTCGAGTGCGTTTCCTGTTCTTTCTCGGGGCTTCCGGGCCTGCTGACGCACCCCCAGCCAGATGGTCTCCGTCTAGGCCAACGCCCGCATTCCCGTTCTTGTTTCCCACGCAGCCTGGACGCCCGCGGTTCTATATCTCTCCATACCACTGTCTTGTCGTATCTATCTTCCTGTTCAATCAACTTGTTACCCCGCACATCGTCTGACCAACTCGGCGCGGCGCGGCGCTGCACCGGAGTCACGGGACTCACGGCCCACGCGCCGCCGGGTGGCTCGTCCATCTTCGGTCTCTGTAGGCTAGTCCGCGCTATATGGCTAAGCATCCTATGCTCGTTCGGGCGCTGGCCCGCGGGTCTTAGAGACAGTATATGTGTGCTCGATTTTATTATTTTTACTAAATTCAAAATACGTGGCCTGTTCTGTTCTACTTATCTTTCTGGTCGATATTGCGAGTCCCGCAACCCAGCACAGACGGCGCGGCAGAGGCGCAGACGCGGGGTCGACGCGCCCTGGGCATTTGCGCTTGCCACGTTGCGACTCTGTCGAACATTTCTTTGCGTGGCACGTCGTGGGGGGGTGGCGCAGTAGCGTAGGTGAGTGTTCTATCGCTGGAAACACCTCCGCTCAGCATTGACATCCACAAACAGCCTGAATTCACTCACCGGGAGAAGATGGAACGTTGTGGAACAACGGCGGCGCCCTCTCGCGCGAGATTTGCTGGAGTTGGAGGTGCGTATGGGCCCTCCCCGGGCGCGCGCTTTCGCGACGAACGCGCGGCGGATGGGCCGGGACGGCACTGGCCGCCAAAAACAGCAGCTGGTTCGCTCAGGGCCAACGACTAGCCCGTTCCGCCTGAAAATCTCAGGGAACGGAGGGATATATCGCCCCTCGCATCCCTGAGAATCTCAGGCGGAACGCGCGAGAAACACGCCCAGCGCGCGCGAGTCTCGGGAACACGCGTCCAACGCCGAGTCTGGCGGATGCAGCGCGTCGCAGTGGCCCAAAACGCGCCGACCAAGTCCCCTGCATCTTCCTCGACATGGCCGGACGCGGCCGAGGGCCTGTTCGGCGCGAAACGGGCGGTTTCCGGCCAAGCTCGGCGCGTTGCTCGCGAGCATCCGGCCGGTGGATCGCCGCCAAAGTGCAGTATGGTGCGGAGGACGTCGGCGGCCCTTCGCGAGTCCATTTCCGCGTCGATCCGCGGTCGCGATCGCGCGCGGTGGCGTGTTTTGTGCTGAGTTTGGGCTATAAACGGCTGCAAATGGCGGCACAGAGTGGTAGCGGACCTTGGAGCCTTGTCTCTGGGCTATCTGAGCCGGCGCGGGGGCGTGGTTTCACAAGATTCTGCCCCAGAAGCCCCAGTTGTGTGTTATTGTCGCCTAGTTTGGGCTTCGGCGGCGCGGTGGCGTGTTTTCGCGAGATTCCGCCCCAGAAGTCCCCAGTTGTGAGTGGTTGTTGCCTAGTTTGTCTTGCTACAAGTCCGGGGAGGCGCGGAGAGGCAGGTAGGATGTTGTGTCGCCAGAGATGGTGGTGGTTCGGAAGCAAGAGAGTCACGCGCGTGACTGTAGTCGAGTCCGAATCTTGCGTGACTCGGTGTCGACTCCGACGCACTGGTCGGCACTCGGCCTCGGTAAATTAACTGCTGGCAGTTAGCGGAATTCCGCGGCAAGTCCGCTGGCAGTTAGCAAAGTAATTTCAGTTGTGGGAAAAGTGAAGAGAGGGATTGAAAGATATTGAGCTGGAGATTCCAAAAAGTTGAAATGAGAAGCAGGAGGATAAGAACTGAGAGTTGTGGAGGGCTAATGAAATTTCCCAAAAAGGAAATAATTTCGAGCGCGAAATTGTGGACAGGTGTTTTCACGCTTTTTTGAAATTTGTTCCTGGGGTTGGCTGAGGGGTGGCATTTCCTATTGTAAGGAGGAAGACCTCTGGGTGCTGAGTGTTCTTTTGTCTAGCAGTGTGTCTGACACCTGTTTAAAGATGGATTAACATGGGACCACATTTTGGCAGTGAAAGAGGTTGGCTGAATACCCTATAACAAGGGGAAAAAGGTCATTTGAGTAATTGGTGGGCTCATGCTTAGGCATTGAGAAGAGGCCTCCCCACTGGTGAAAGGGTGATCTCCTTCAGTTGATTGGGAGTAGCTGCTGAATCGAACCAAGGGTTGTGAGAGTGAAGGACAGAAGTCATCATAGCACTGTTTACAGTCAACTTCTGAGTAACTTGAACTTGTAACTTGGTGGAGCTTGCCTATCTTTTCTATTCATGGGTTCTGGGGGATACATTTAAATCTAACTTTTTCTAGGATACTAATTTTCTAGGATGCAGACTCTGTTGGGGGACGCCCTGACAAGTCTATAAACAAAAATCCAGGACTGCAGCCTGGTGTGACAGTGAAGTCAATAAAACTCAAAGCTATTTTTTAACCCCCTTTACTACCTACCTTCTTCTTCTTTCTTCTTCTTTCCTATCTTCAGCTTTGTGAATGACATGGATTCATAAAGTTGAAGATGTGAAAGAAGAAGAACAACAGTATTTTTTTTCCTTCTGCAGCTCTACTTTAGGGCCTGCTGAAGGATCGGGTTCCAGGGGAATTCCACTTTAGGGCCGGCTCATGCTTCCACTCTTTTTTTCTCTTGTTATTATATTCTTGTTATTATATTCTTGTTATTATATTCTTGTTATTATATTCTTGTTATTATATTCTTGTATTATTAGACTTGGTATTGACTGTGTTGACTGGTACTGAGCGCTACTGCCAGACTACTTTAGGGCCAGCTTACTAGGTGACTTGACTAGGCTGACTGGAGCTTACTGCCTGCATTGACCGCTACTGACTTATACTGCTACTGCCTGCCTTGGGAGATGAGTCTGACTTTAGGGCTGACTTGGGAAATTGGTTGAGGTTATAGAGACACTTCTTACACCTTACTGCCCAGTTTACACTTATGCTTCAAACTCAATAGTTGGCTCACAAATTGACAAATACTGACAAACACTAGAGTCTTTTGAAACAGTATTAGGGTTGTTTCTCAGTCATTTCTGAAGCTTTCAAGATGGCTTCTATATGGTTAGAAAGGTATTTGAGGGGCCTACAATCTGGTCTTCAACTGAAAACATGTTTAATACAAATTGACTGACTTTCCTTAGCAATTACTGTGGCAGTAAGTATTACACTGTTATAATTTTTGATGAGTTATATATGGTTAGAAAGGTCTCCATAAGGACTCCAACTTTGTCTTCAACTCATTGTGACTTTCCTACAAAACTAATGACTTTTGTTAGTACACACTGTGGCAGTTATTGACTCAAATTGACTTGTAAATATTTTGGTGTGGGTTCATAGAGACACTTTCGAGACCTAACTACCCAGTTTACACTTTGGCTTAAAGTCAATACTTGCTTCGCAAAATGCAAATTACTGACCCAATCCAGAGTCTTTTGAAACAGTAATAGGGCTTTATCTCAGTGAGTTCTGAAGCTTTCAAAATGGGTCATATATGGTTAGAAAGGTATTTTGAAGGCCTACAATCTGGTCCTCAACTGAAGACATGTTTGATACAAAATGAATGACTTTTATTACAAAATACTGTGGCAGTAAGTCTTACACTGTGATAATTTTGGATGCCTTATATATGGTTAGAAAGGTCTTCAGTAGGACTACAACTTTGTCTTCAACTCATTGTAACTTTCCTACAAATCTAAGAACTTTTGTTAGTACTTACTGCAGCAGTTATTGACTGTATTGACTGAAATTGACTTGGGCAGATTTTGGTCTGGGTTCATAGCGGCACTTTTAAAACCTAACTGCCCAGTTAACACTTTGGCTTAAAGTCAATACTTGCTTCGCAAAATGCAAATTACTGACCCAACCCTGAGTTTTCAAAACAGTATTAGGGCCATATCTCAGTGAGTTCTGAAGCTTTCATAATGGTTCCTATATGGCTAGAAAGGGATTTTGAAGGCCTATAACATGGTATTTAACTGGAAACCTGTTGACTACAAAATGACTGACTTTTATTAGGATACACTGTGGCAGTTAAGGCCACACTATGAAATTTCTTAATGGTGCATATATGGTTAGAAAGGTTTTTAGAAGGACTATAACTTTCAATTCAACTTTTGTTTGATTGACCACAAATCTATTAACTTTTGTCAGTACTTATTGCAGCAGTTATTGACTGTCTTGACTGAAACTGACTTGTGCAGCGGCACCTGCCTTTTTTCAAAACAGTAATAGGGCTCTATCTCAGTAAGCTTTGGTTGGATCACAATGAGTCCTATATGGTTAGAAAGGTATTTGAAGGGCCTACAAATATGGCTTTAACTGCAGATATGTTGACCACAAAATGACTGACTTTTATTAGGATACACTCTGGCAGTTAAGGTTACACTGTTGAATTTCTTGATGGTTCATATATGGTCAGAAAGCTCTTGAGAAGGACTACAACTTTGTATTCACCTAATTGGAACTTTCCTACAAATCCATCAACTTTATTGACTTGGCACTTTCAAAACAGTATTAGCACTATATCTCAGTCATTTCTGAAGCTTTCAAGATGGTTCTCATATGGTCAGAAAGGGCTTTACAGAGGCTATAAACTGGTATTCAACTGGAAATATGTTTGATATAAATCCAATGACTTTTATCAGTACTTACTGTGGCAGTTATATTGACTCAAATTGACTTGTGCACATTTTGGTGCCAGTCTATGGGGACACTTCTGGGACCTAACTGCCCAGTCTACACTGTGGCTTAAAGTCAATACTTGACTCACAAAATGTCATATACTTTCAGTCTTTTGAAACAGTAATAGGCTCATATCTCGATGAGTTCTGGTCGGTTTAAGATGGTTCCTATATGGTCAGAAGGATATTTCAAAGACCTACAAACTGGTCTTCAACTGCAAATATGTTGACTACAAAACGACTGACTTTTATTAGGATACACTGTGGCAGTTCATGTTACACTGTTGAATTTCTTGATGGTTTATATATGATTAGAAAGGTTTTTAGCAGGAATACAACTTTGTATTCAACTTATATTTAGTTTATCACAATTAGTGTATACTGCAG